TAAAAGCCCACCAAAAATAATCAGCAATGAAAATAATCTAAATATATAAGAATATAGAAATTTTATTAACTAGTGTAATAGCATTAAACATTCAAATGTTTAGTACCTGTTTTTATGCCAGGTGTGCGGGATACATCTGCAAAGACTTAATCCCTATTATTTTTACTAGAATCATTTTAAAATAGGAAACTCGCTCACTATTTTTAAGTCCTGGATCAATTTATTATCTAAACACTTTGTAGACCCCATGTAAAAAATTATGAGCGCCCTAACCGGTTTGGCTCAGTGGATAGAGCATCGGCCTGTGGACTGAAGGGTCCCAGGTTCGATTCTGGTCAAGGGCATGTACCTTGGTTGCGGGCACATCCCCAGTAGGGAGTGTGCAGGAGGCAGCTGAATTGATGTTTCTCTCTCATTGATGTTTCTAAGTCTCTATCCCTCTTCCTCTCCCTTCCTCTCTGTAAAAAATCAATAAAATATATATTTAAAAATTATGAGTGAAAATGTCCTACAAGTACAGTCTTCATATTAGAAATGCCATTATAATGATGAATGTCATGTGGGAGAAGGTGGGGCCGAGAGCATCTAAGTCAGTGTAAGTGAAGGAAACAGACCAGTTATAAATCAGTGCTTTCTCTACATTGTGTTTGCATAGAGTTTATCATCTGGTCTTTTTCATTAAATATAATAAAAGCAGATACCGTTCACTGAGTATTTGTATATATGAGGCATAGTTCCAAGAGCTTCCACCCATTCATTAACTCTTTTCATCTTTATAATAAGCCTATGGAGCATGTTCTATTTTTTTTATCTCCGTTTCACAGATTATGAAGCTGAGTAGAGATTAAAGTAACTTGCCAAAGGCTCACATCTGTTCATTGATTAACCTGGGATTGAACCTTGAAGTTTTGATCCACAACTGACTTTTTTTTTCTATCCACTACACAACAGTGCACAAAATGAAGCCAATTACTAGTAAAGGTGTGTGATTATGGAGCTCTGATAAGCCATTGCCTTCTTTTTAACTCCTATAGCCATTAACTCTCCCACCTACAGGAGAAACACAACCCCATGTCTGAATTTGACTTGGAGAACTTGGCAGTCTGTGGATCCAACTTGTTTGTGGCAGGAACAGAGACCACCAGTTCCACCCTAAGATACGGGCTCCTGCTCCTCATGAAACATCCAGAGGTGGAAGGTACAGCAAGCATTTTAGTGATCAGGGCACGAGGTGAGGGTGGGAAGACACTGCTGACAGTGACTGCTTCGCTTTCTCTGGGCCCCTTTCAGAGCACCATGCAAATGGCCATGTATGTGGTTTGCTTTTGTAGATTAGAACTCTGTCTAATAATGCTGATAAGGAAGAAGCACCTTTGAGAACTGAAAGGCTGTTGTTTAAACTGGAAGCAGAGGAACTTCTGAATCCTGAGTCTTATATATGAGGTTCAATGCCAAAGAGTAAGCCCTAGTTAGATGAGGGACCCATGAGTCACAATGCTGGGTGCTCATCCCAGGCCTGTCAATACCTGGCTGTGTGACCTCAGTCAAGTCATTTAATCTTTCAGGCCTCTGTTTTCCCAACTTGAAAATGGACCAGATTTCCCAAAGGGGATTTTTAGCTGTGATATAACAACATTTAAAAATGAAATGTTGGTAGGTTGATTTTCTCAAGCGCATTCTCAGAGCACAGGCCTTATAAAGCCAGTGTTTATGCTGCTCAACAAAATGGTATTTACCATCCCCACAAAACTAGAAGGAGACTGGATGAAGGTGACAAAGAAGCAGCTCCCACTAGAATGAGGAGCGAACATGTCCCCCTACAGCTGCTTTGCCAGGAATCATGGGCTCAGCCATAATCCCTGCTACAAAGGTCCTTGCCTCCCCCGTACATGAGAACAAACCAATGAAGCCAGGAGGCTGAGAAGATAGTTAATCCAGCCTTTATGTTTCCTTCAGCAAGTCTCTGGCATTTACAGCAAAATAGAAAAGAGAAATTCCATCGGAGCAGAGCAATGGGCTGTTTAACAACAGGTCTTTGACATTGGGAACCTTTTCTAGGCCATGTTCTGCTGCACATGGCAAGCATTTCAGGTAATTTCCAGGTACCCAGGGAACACATCTCTTGAGTGGCATTCATGATTCATGTCTCTGCAGCCAAAGTTCATGAAGAAATTGACAGTGTGATTGGACACAACCAGAGGCCCTCCTTGAAGGACAAGATGAAGATGCCTTACACAGAGGCTGTGTTGAATGAGATACAAAGATACATCACCCTCCTTCCGTCTAATTTACCACATGCTGTGACCAAGGACACAAAATTCAGACAATATGTCATCCCCAAGGTTAGATGTGTCTGGGAAAACGGACTGGGATAGGAGGGGTGGTAGGGTCCCTCAGTGGGGCCGTGAGAGGCTCTCAGTTCTATTGCAGGAAGAGAGCAGTCAGAGTCAGATGGCCGTGGTTGGAAATCTGTCACTGCACGCAGTGCACCCTCAGGTCACTCTGCAGCCCGGTCTCTGCCTTCCTAGAATGGGGGAGGCCGACCTGGGGCTTCCAAGCCCCTCCTGCTCTCATAGAGGATGTATTTTGGGAGCAGTGATTTCCATTAACGAGAATCTTACGGGAACTGAAATCTGATTTTTCAGGTTAGATTTTAAAAAGGGGGGAAGTGGAAAATGTGTCTGTAGCTCTAAGGCAGTGGTTCTCAACCTGTGGGTCGCGACCCTTTTGGCGGTCGAACGACCCTTTTGCAGCGGTCGCCTAAGACCATCCTGCATATCAGATATTTACATTACGATTCATAACAGTAGCAACGTTACAGTTATGAAGTAGCAACGAAAATAATTTTATGGTTGGGTCACAATATGAGGAACTGTATTTATAGGGCCAGAAGGTTGAGAACCACTGCTCTAAGGTAATTAAGCCAATGTCGATCTTCTTTAGCCCAAATGTTCTCCTCCCAGAACTTTATGTATAGGCCATTTGAGATGTTGCTGCTCCTGACAGTTAACATTTGTAGGACACTTAGCATTTACCAAAACTTACATGCTCACTAGGGATATAGTCAGTCTCCTGTAGTGATTAGGGGCTTCGGTTTTACATTTAAATAGTTCCAGAGCATAGAAGAGGAAGAAAAGGTGCCAACCTGATCAAAATATTGCAAAACAGAATAAAAATACTACAAAACAGCCACCGATCTTACTTAAAACTATCAATGCAAACATGTATTAGTACATTAAGTCTAGCATCACATTACAAACCCCACATCACCAACAAATTGAGATCCTTAAGAACACAGGAATGGTCTAACACCAGGAAATCTAGTTTAATAAAATTCACCATATAAATAAAATTTAGGAGAAAAATCATATGATAATCTCATTTGTACAGAAAATACTTTTGATAATATTCAATGGCCATTTTAATTAAAAAATTATTTTAAAATTATAATTGACATTTAATATTATATTAGTTTGAGTCATTAGTTTCAGGACCTACCTGGTACCATACATAGTTATTACAATTTTATTGACTATATTTCCTATCCTCTACTTTACATCCCTCTGACTATTTATAACTGCCTATTTGTACTTCATTTTTATTTTTTAACCTTTAATAAAGTAGGAATAGACGAATATCTCTTTAGCCAGAAAAAAAACACATATTTCCCAATCATGCTTATTGATGAAAGATTAAAAGCATTCCTAAGTAGGAATAAAGCAAGGCTATCTACCAGTACTAATATTATTCAAATAGAATTAGGAAAAAATAGTGAGATAAGACATTCCAAACAAAGAAGCAACTTTGTAAATGATATAATTATACCTGGAATTAAAAGCCAAAGCACAATTGCAAAATTAGCCAAAGCACAATTGCAAAAACAGAATTATTCAGTGGTTAGGTACAAATTTATTATTTAAAAAAATCAATTGCCACCTATATAAAATAAAAATGATTTAAAAAATATAATGAAGATAAGTTTTCATTAATAAAAACAAGGATAAAATATTTAGGAATAAACTGAACAAAAAAATTCAAGATCTATAAAAAGAAAACTGAAATGTTAATGAGAGATATAAATTGTTTGAATAAATTACAAGATTTATTCTGCATTTGGGTAGAAAAGTAGCAGTTATCCCCAAATCAAAAAATCTATACATTTATGAGATCTCAATGAAAATATCAACCAGATTTTCTTGGAACTAAGCTAGCAGATCCTAAGTTTGATATGGAAAATAAAAAAATATCTAATCAGGGATAGGTTCTACCAAATGTTAGAATGTAATACAAAGTCACAGTTATTAAAGCAGTATAATATACCTTCTTGAAAAGACAGATCAAAGGAATAAAATCTAGAAATAAACTTAATTATACATGAAAACTTTGTACTTGATGAAGGTGTTTTCCCCTTAGAGCAGCGGTTCTCAACCTGTGGATCGCAACCCCTTTGGGGGTCGAACGACCCTTTCACAGGGGTCGCCTAAGACCTTCGGAAAACACATATATAATTACATATTGTTTTTGTGATTAATCACTATGCTTTAATTATGTTCAATTTGTAACAATGAAATTGGGGGTCACCACAACATGAGGAACTATATGAAAGGGTCGCGGCATTAGGAAGGTTGGGAACCACTGCCTTAGAGGGACAATATGGAATATTCAACAGAGGTTAGAAAACTCTTGGGGGAGTTGGAAAATAATAACAACAGATCCCTGCCTCATATCTTACATGAAACTTTATTCTTGGTGGCTCAGATATACACACATAGAATATTAAACTGTAGAAGTACTAGGAATAAAAGCGATGACTTTTTTTGAGAATTTCAGAGTTCCAAAAGACTTCTAACATTGACTCCCAACACCAAAAAAGAGAGGAGTAAGAGGGCCCTGTGTTTAAAAATTGATAAATTTGGCTATATGCAAATAAGAAAAATCTGCCTGGAAAAATAAAGTCAAAAGATAAATGACAAACTGAGAGGAAATTTTGCATGGTTCATAAGAGGAAAGGACTAATTACTGAAAAATAAAATGAACTCCTACAGTCAGTTTGAACAAACCCAAAAACCAACAGATGCAGAACAAGAAAAACAAAATTAAAATTTGAGTAGAAATAATTACAAATGGTTTTTAAATGTGTAAAAATATACTCACACAATGAAATATAGTGAAAATAATTCTAAAGAAATTTTTTTTTTACTTATAATATGTTGGCAGGGTGTAAAAAAGCATATAGTTTTGCTAGTGGTATAAACTGGTGTAACCTCTATGGAAGACAATGTGGTAATATCTATTAAAATTCAAAACACACATACAACTTGAAGAGTAGTTCCACTACTAGGAATTTATCCTTTGTGTACTTTCTATAAAATAAGAATATTTATTGCAGCAATATTTGTGATACTTGAAGATTGGGAAACCCCCAAATGTTCATTTACAAAGGACTTTAAAACTTCCTTTATTTCTATAAAGTGGAATACTAAGCAAGCTGCAGCACACTATAGGATACTACTATCTGTGTGAAAATAGTGGAGGATATATGTATATAAGTGTCCTTTCTTTAAATCCATAAGATATCTCCCAAAGGATAGATCATAAAATGCTAACAGTAATTACACCAAGAAGAAAACCAGGGCACTTGAGTATAAGAAGAGAGACTTATTTTTACTTTATACCCTTTTGTACACACCTGAATTCAGAAAGGAACAAATTGTAGAAAAGTAGATTCTTCCTATTTGAGGCAGCAATTCTAGTAAATGTCATGTCTAGACAATGTGGGTGGCAAACCCCCGCTTATCAACAATAACTGGTTACCTCACATTGATCATAACATCACTCTTCCCAAAGAGAATTATCTTACTACTCAATAAGTATTGTATGATAATAGCATGTATAAAATAGCCATAACTCAAGACAATCACTCACCAGGCAAGCTTAAGAGTGCTCAGTCCTATTCAATCCACTAATTAGGAGTGTTAGCCTTGTTAATGAATCAAGGGTAGGCACGATCAAGTACAACTCCTCTCTCTTTTCTTGGTTCCAGGGCACCACAGTATTGCCATTATTGTCTTCAGTCTTGTTGGACTGCAAGGAGTTCCCCAATCCAGAGACCTTTGACCCAGGCCACTTTTTGGATAAAAATGGCAGCCTCAGGAAAACAGATTACTTCATACCCTTTTCCCTTGGTAAATACAAGTAAATCCATCCACACCACACACCTGCACATTTCGGACAACTTTTTAGCTTCGCTGAGATTTTGGCATAACTAAGTAATCCCTGGATGATAGCGAAGTTGATCATGTGAGACTGTTACCGTTTCTGAGGTAACTGTATGGAGCCACTTTAGTCTGTGCACCAGTAGGATTAGGGAAGTCACCCAGGGACTGTTTTGTTGTTGGGTAACTGAGTATAATGCCAGTTTTTAAAGAAACCAAAGTCAAGCCAATTCAAATGCCACCTGTTACCAGATGACAAAGGGACCTGCTTTTGCAGACTCTTATCTGTTGATTTCCCCTTTGTAATAGTGACTTTTCCAAAGCAAATGTGCAAGTTTTTTTCTTCTTTTAAAATTACTGATGATTGCCGAAACCGGTTTGGCTCAGTGGATAGAGCGTCGGCCTGCGGACTGAAGGGTCCCGGGTTCGATTCCGGTCAAGGGCATGTACTTGGGTTGCGAGCACATCCCCAGTAGGAGATGTGCGGGAGGCAGCTGATCGATGTTTCTTTCTCATCGATGTTTCTAACTCTCTATCTCTCTCTCCCTTCCTCTCTGTAAAAAATCAATAAAATATATTAAAAAAAAAAAAAGAAATACACACTTAAAAAAAAAATAAAATAAAATAAAATAAAATTACTGATGATTATTAACTTTCTGATTCTTAGAGCCGGAGGCCATCAAAGAGACTTGGCGACTTCGTATTTTTTCTTCCCCTCTGAAACCTGAGTCCCGCATACCCTTGCCTCTTTTCAAGAGCTGGTTGGCCCCCAGTTACTATTTCCCATAAGGTTATAAAGACAACTTAGGATTGGTCAGCACACATTCTTTTTCCTTGTCTTATTCAATCATTTGCTAAGTATTTAAAAAATAACAGTTAAGATGTTTTGTTTCTAATTACAGTGATAATAAGTGTTCAACGTAAAAGATGGAAAATGCAGAAAAGCAAAAAAAAGAGAAGGAAATAAAAATTATTTGCCATTTCACTCTACAGAGATAACCACTGTTGTCTAAATATACATAATAGATATATATTTAAAAATAAAATTTGGTTCATTCTGTACAATCTTTGATAATTTATTTTCACTTAGTTTGTTGTGATAAAAGACAGACTGTGGTGTTAAATAATCTTCTATGTCAACATATTTAGGTTTCGTTGTGTGAAATGCAGAAGAATTTATTCCATTAGTTCGTTATAGATGGATATACAGTTTTCATCTGACTCATCAATATCATAAATAACAATGCAAGTGACATCCTAATAGATGCATCTCTCTTTCCTATGGCTAAATACCCAGAAGGAGAACAACCCAATTAAAGAGCGAACATTTCTTGAGAGAGTTTTGATATATAGTGACAAATAATTGGCTTCTGGCAGTTGATAAAATTCCCTTTTCTGATCAGTGTTTTCCATGGCTCTTAGGGGCATATTGTATTGGTTGTCTTGTTCGGCATATTGTATTTGAATATGAGCTATTTATTGTATTGGAACTTGGAGCGAACTAATGGGAATGTTTCCTCCTTCCAGGGAAACGGGCCTGTGTTGGCGAGGGCCTGGCCCGCGTGGAGCTGTTCCTCTTCCTCACCACCATTCTGCAAAACTTTTCCCTCAAGCCCCTGGTGGAGCCCAGGGAACTAGAGACCAGACCCCTTGTTACTGGGCTTCTCACCGTTCCCCCGCCTTTCAAGCTGCGCCTTCTTCCTAGATGAAAGGACTTTCCTCTTTTAACAATTTGATTCAAAGTAATTGCTTTTCCTCTTACTCCCCAATAGTCTCGCTCTTCATTTTAAATACTGTGTAGGACAGAAACACTACTCACTAAGAACTTGACGGACATTTGTTTAAATCTGCAAATCCCTTGACAAAAAGGAGCTGGGTCCTGGCAACTCCAAGGGCACAAACACTGTGTTCATACCCTGTACAGTTCTTTATAAACCGCGCTTCAGCAGAGCCAAGACCAGGCCCACACACGGCTTTTGTCGGGGATAATTAGCAACATAGTAGAGCCTTCACTCTTTCTGTGGCTTCGCACATATGCCGATTTTCTGCTGTTTTTCAAAACAGGGACGTTACTATAATAGCCTATGTGTGCGATTTCTATTTCCAATTGGAAGCATGTATAGGATTTGTACCACATTCACAAAATAAATCCTTACTTCCACAGTAGATTTCCTTTGTATGTTTGACTTTATTTCAAGTCTCAAACATTTATTTCCATGAGTTATGGCTCTCTACAGTTAGGATAAGATAAATACATGAAATTAAACAATAACCTATCACAAATCTCTCCCTGCCCCACCCTCATCTATTTGCAACTATTGATGTGCATGGGGCTCAAAGAGGCTCCTTTTGTTTTTTTAGAAATATTTGTATTGATTTCAGAGAGGGAGATAGAGATAGAAACATCAATGACGAGAGAGAATCATTGATTGGCTGCCTCCTGCACGCCCCCTACTGGGAATCGAGCCTACAACCCAGACCTGTGCCCTGACTAGCAATCAAACTGTGATCTCTTGGTTCATAGGTCAACACTTAACCACTGAGCAACACTGGCCAGGCTCAAAGAGCCTTCTTGCATAAGATGTCAAACTATGCATAGCCACGTCCTATTCAGAAAGAGGTGAGAGGTGGATTTGGAGGTTGAAAAGCAAGAGGAGCTGCAAGGGAAGACTGAGCATTCCCAAGAGAACAGTGACCCAGAAAATAGCTGCAACTACGCCAGCAGTGGCCCAGCTGTGAGCAGCAGCTGCCACAAAAGGATGGTTCAAAAACCAGCAGGCAGCCCCACCTCCAGGGACCCTGGGAGGGAAAGGAGCTTTAAAAGTAGAGCTGAGCTTCAGGGTAAGTACCCCAAAGAACTGAAAGCAGGGACTTGACCTGACATTTGACACCAGTGTTCCTACGAGCATAATTTACAGGAGCCAAAATGTAGAAACAACCCAAATATCCATTGACAGATGAATGGGTAAGCAAAATGTGACTATACATATATGTACAATGGAATATTATTCAGCCTCAACAGGGAAGGATATATATTCTATAAACGGTGGAAGAAGCCAGATAGAAAAGACCACATACGTATCGTATGATTCCTTTATATGGAATATTCAGAATAGGGAAATCCACAGAGACAGAAAGTGTATTAGTGGTTGCTTAGGGCTAGAAAGTGACTACAAATGAGCACAGGATTTTCTTGGGGGTGATGAAAGTATTCTGAAATTAGGCTGTCGTGATGATTGCACAACTCTGCATATTCTAAAAACTACAGAACTGTATCCTTAAACAGGTGAATTTTATAGGATGTAAATCATATCTCAATAAAGTTGTCTTTTCAAAAAGTACGTATGCACAAGCACAAAATCATTAATAATTAACACAATTGTCCTGATAAGTAGAAGCATAACAACGAGTAAGTACTCTATGGCTAATGGGCATCTTTGAAACCCTGCCTCAGGGCACACAGCAGTCAAAATTCAGGTTCAAGCATCCCAGCTCAAGGCCATCTGGAACATCAGTATGGAAGTGGGACAGGCCAGTGAGGGAAAGGGAAGATCCCAGCACCAGGCATGACCATAACTAGAGGGAATCGGCCTACTTATGGGGAGTGAACAATTCAATCTAGAGCTTCCTATGGGAGTGGGAAACTCAGGCTAGATTGAGGCTGACGTTGAGATGGAAGAGAAAGACGGGTGAGATGAATTGAAAATTATGCATAGGTCCTATCTGGTAAATAGTAAGTATTTCTACAAATTTGCAATCACAGCAAGACAGGTTTAGAACAAAATATCTTTGATTTTAGTGATGTCAAATATTAAGTCTCAAAGACCTTACCAACATAATCCAGTACAAAAAGTTATAATATATAACTTTTAGCCAGTTCTAGCTCTGAATTTTTGGTGAACTTGCATTCAGCTTCATATTTATGGTCATTTGGGATGAAAACCCTCCATAAATTTCCAGTTCTCAGGGCTCTTATAGGCCAAGTCCAAGAAGCTTGCTCAGGCTCCTCTTTCCTGTGTATCTTCTCTGTTAGTTTCTAACACACAAGAATATGTTTGATCTTCAATGACGACCCAGTTGCTTCAGGATGGACATAGAACAGAATAAAGCTAATAGGTTTGAAAGCTGATTATGTCTGACATTTTCTAGCTGTGTGACCTTAGGCAGGTCCAGACTTTCTCTGATCTTCATCTAAACAAATTGAAATTAGCAACACCTACCTTTTAGGTTAGGGAGTGGAGGATGTATGTATTTTCCCTGGCAATTAGCAGGGGCTCATAAATGATGGCTTTTGTGTTATCAAGTCATTGAAAATTCTACCATAGTCAGTGAAAATTCAAATTTTAACTTTTAAGCCATTCATGCTTTTTTCCAGTCTGTTTCAGGGTTTAATGTGAAAATTCCAGGCTTAGTCACTATTCAATCAATTAATATTTGTCATATTTCTCTAATATAATATTGACATGTTGAATTCTTTTATACTTATTATAATATTGAATTTCTCTGAATCTAAGATGCCATCTGTTTTAAAATGTTTTCCAGTTTCAGAGACAATAAAATGTGAAATAAACAGCACCTTAGAATCAATGAAATATAGTTGCTACCTAGTATGTTTGGACTTATAATCCATCACTGGTCTGCTTAACAGGGCTGTTCAAAGTCTAAATTATGTTAGTCCTTTCTTTTCAAAGACCAGATTACTTTGTGCCAGACTCTCCCAGTTAACCTCTGCCAGACACCCTGATACCCAATATGATGCCATATCAGAACACACATTGCATTCGTTTTTCAAACTCAGAAAGAACCTCTTTACTTCCAGCAAGGAAGATGACACACAGACTATTTACAAATTAGGCAACACTGGTACACAGAATGGATTCAGAGTCCATGCCATCCATGCTTTCCATTGGCTAGAGGGCAGTCTGAACCAACATGTCACCGAACCAACGATGGCCCTGTTGGAAGTAGGGTTAGTGGGGACATGTGGAGGAGCCAGGGTTGCTGAAATCCCATTTAATCATTTCCTGTCCTGTTCTAAAGTCAACAAAATGTCAATGCAGAGGATAGTTCGTTATTTGTTACAACTTTTCAACATGTATTTAATACATGTTATATATCAAGTATAGGAAGAACTGGGAGTTCAGAAAGAAATATGACATTGTCTCTGGTCTTAAGGACCTTATATTTTAACCAAGGAAGATAACACACACACACACACACACACACACACACACCCCAAAAGTAGAGGAACCCCCAGAAGCATTTCCCTTCTTAGAAACCCCTGAAGGGCTGCATTTAGTAAAAGCATATTCAAGAATATTTAATTCCGGTTGAAGATAGTGGGAATGGAACATTGTGAATTGACTTCCAACTTTTGAAACCAACTGAAAGCAAAATAAAAGGTCAAAAAAGAAAAAAGGAACTTCCCCCTCCAATAAATAAGGGAGAAGTTATAAACACAAGACTATGCAGAATGCCTGCCAAATGAAGAGAATTTTGAACGTAATCCGTGAGAACACAGAGCCAACACATCCCTGCACAGACTGTGGGAAAGAGATCAATTTAACTAAAATTAAGTGTCAGATTACGGAGCGTGGATTGAAAAATTGCCACTTAAAAATGAAATCTGTGGTTGAAAACATCGGAGCATACCAATCGCCACCCCTTAATGGATTCTGTGCTGCTTTATTAGGGCCGTTACTTGGGTTCCCAAGAAGGTAAGCCCTTCTGGGTTTCCTCTACTTTCTGAACCCACTCACCCTCTCTTGTTGGATTTCCAATGCCCTCCAGGAACAGGCTGCTCCTCTGCCCAGACAAACTCCCCGGGGGCCCCACCCCCTCATTGTCTTCACTAAGCCTGCCTCGATTTTCGGTAACAGTTTGGATACACTGTCCGGTGCGATGTATATAGTACTCATATTTATTATTTTCTTACTGCCTTGACTAGGATGCTTTCCCCTTCTGTCTATTCCTCAGGGACCTCAAATGCCATCTGTTTGAATCTGAAAGCAGCATCTCTTCCCCCAGCAGCTCTTCTTGGGAAATGGCACCACCTGTTGCCCAAGTCAAGAACCTGGGGGCCGTTCTAAATTCTTCCCGGTCACTCATGTCCCAGATGCACTCGGCCTCTAAGCCTCTAAGCCCGCTCCGTTTCCACTCTTGCGGATCCTCATGACTAACTGACCCCTGTTTTTCGCCTCCACTGCCCTAACCTCC